TCATGGCTCATGGGCCCAGCCACTCCGCAGCATGTGGGATCTTCCCGGACCGGGGCACGAACCTGTGTCCCCTGCATTGGCAGGCTGACTCTCAACCACTGCGCCACCAGGGAAGCCCTCTTATGAATTTTTAATTGTATTTTTTTTCTGTTTTCTCCTTGTGTTTTTGCTTGCTAGATTATGTTTGTTCAAATGCTAAACATTATATATAAAAGGTTTTAGAATTTGAGGCTTTAAACGTTGTTGCCTTCCAAAAGAGCAGATTTTATTTTGCTCCAGCAGGCAGTTAAGGTAAGGAACAGATCACTTTAACCTAATCAGGCAGTGGACTGATTCAAAGCTGGGCTTCCTGAGGGTGGATCTATTTCTTGTCAACTGTTACTCATAGGGTTTTGCTCTTTAAGGGTCCCAATTTAAGCCAGGGGATTTTGCCAGGGCCCCCCATCCTTGACAGACAGACCCTAAATGCCAGCCTCTACCCTGTGAGATGGCCCATCAGCTACTGATTTAGAATCAGTAAATGCTTTTAAAGGGAAAGCCTAGGCATCAGATATCAGGTTTGCTTCTCTGGGTTTTTCTTCTCTTCTAGATCTTGGCTGCTAAAGCCTTAACTTCCTTGGTAACTCTGAGATGTCTTCAAATATACTTTAAAATATATTTTATTTAGCTTGTTTTCATTGTTCTTCCCTGTACACTTGTCTACCCCACCATTACTGAGAGCAAAAATTCAGTACATGTGGTTTTAAAAGTTCTTTCACAGACACTAGTGTGTCTTCCTCTTTTATGTCAACCGTTTGGGGCAAGCAGATGAAGAGCATTGTCCCCACTATACAGATGTGGAAACTGAGAATGAGTCAAGGTAAATGATCTTCCCCAAATAGGCAGCTGGTGTGTCTTTTCGTCCAACTCTTCCTCCTCATATGGCCTCACTGTCTTTCTTATTAAATCCAGTTAGCACCTTTTAAATCATTTCCAAGGGAATAAACTATTGTTTATTGTGTTTATGGAGAATCCCTGATGTATTGGTTGGTCCTATGCAAAACTGTGTATGATTTAACTCATTCAATCACCCTTCATGTTTTTCTAAGGCATTATTATCCCCATTTTTTTCAAGAACACCAACTGTAGAAATTGATAAGTCATAAAGTCAGGCCTGAAACTCACATCTGTCTGACTACAGACTTTCTTTTTTCATTTCCCAAAAGTGAAAATATTCTCTTTCCAAACAAGTCATCAACATGCAGGAGAAGCAGTGCTTATGTTTGGGAATTATGAATATACCCCATTAATTACCTGACAGAGTCCTAGTATATCAGTCCTAATAGTCGTTTCTACTTCAGCATTCCTGGGCCTCTTACTCTTGGTGGAAGTAAATGGAATTTTCAGGACATTGTCATTAGGAAAAGATTCTAGAAAGGGAACTTAAGTCTTTTCTCCAGTCTCCATGGAGTTGTGTCATGGTTGGTATTCTCGTTAACCCAAATCAGAACACATCTGAATTTGTGAAGACTATTGTGTCAAAAATTAGTCATTAATGTAATTGTCTAAAGTGAACACCTATAAAATCTTACTGTCTAAAAGGATAATTGGTCACTATAATGAGGGCCATTTGTGAGTGCCTTTTGGGGTCCTGGCAGTGGCAGGGCATTTTACTAACCATGATCTCATTTAATCCTCACAGCAACACATATACAAGGTAGGCCTTGGTATATACATTTTGTAGACCAGATAACTGAGGATCAGA